CATCGAGGTAAATTTTTGCAGCCGGAGCTGGTCGTAACCCGAAAAGTTCGTTAGTAGAGGCGTTCGTATCCCGAGGTACCACTGTATATCCCAGTGTGACTTGAACTGGATGCCGAGGGCCACATGATTCATGCCAGTTTTACCAATCTGCACTGTGCTGAATGGGCATGTCTTATAGGAAAGAGATTAAATCGGTTCTTGGAAAGAAATCTGTCGGTGACTCCTAGGCACGATGGGTCCAGATCCAGCAGCTACTAGGGAAGAACCATGGGAGGAGCCATGAGTTCTTTTGGCAAAACCCCCAGACCAGCTGAGGGGGCGGGGGAGGCAGAATTCTTCCTACTCTAGAAAAACTCCCCTCTGCCCCTCTTTGAAGGATACCTGTACTCCTAGAAATATTTGCAAATACAGTTTTACAGTTGCAAAGAAAAAGCAAAATGAAATTTTGAACCTCTTTTTCCAGGTCTGCTTAAACAGATCATGTGTTGACCGAGTGGTTTTGAATTCTGATTGTGATTTAGCCAGATGTAACAACCGAGGGGTAAGGAACAAGTTCATCACCAACATTGTCACCTTAATGATAGTCTTTGAGGTTAGACTCAAGGTTTCGATTCTTCTGGAGAAGCTGTGCCTGCTGTGCGATGATAAGCAGATTCTTTGGATCCTGACCCTTGTTCTTGACATTTCGCTTTCTAGCCCTTTCCATGCCTTCCTGTCCCCTACCTTCAGACTCCTCCTGGAAGAACCAAACTCACAAATCTTTTACACTAACACTCACTCTTTTGTCCCCTATACCTCGTTGTGGGAAACCTAAGAGCAGGTGGAAGGGGTGGGTGAGGTGGGGGGCAAAAGTTCTGCACTTGGTCAGTCAGATGTCCCAACCCTCCCGCCCATTAGAAGTGTTGGACATTTGCAAGATCCACACCTTTAACAGTATTAACTATAGAGATTGTTTTTGGCTGTGAACTATTAGAATCAGGTTGCAAACTCTGTATAAGAGAAGTATCCTTCCTCTTACTCGTTCTGCTGCTTTCCTGATTTTACCTTTTTATGCTCACTGCTTATTCCCTGCTGTCTGGTATATTTGTAGTATATTATTTATATTCTTTGTTGTCACTTTTGTATTGTTGAAGATATATTTTTGCTTAAGTTTACCTTTTGTATATTTTAAATAGATATAAAGGTTGATAATTTATATACCTTGTCTTCTCTTAATCTCATTACCCAACAAATTGATAGCAGAGGATGGCTGGGCTTGAGAAGCTGATAAACCTTTTTAAGAGAAGACAAGAAGGTCCCAGAAATCTGTCAGCGTTCAGGTTGCCTTAATGACACAGACCCCCAGTAGCCACTTTGCTCAAGAGAGGGCTCATCTACAACTACTCACCAGTAATGGGAGATCAGAGTTGATCTGCTTTGAGAAACTAATGCAGGACTGGCAGGACTGAGCATGGGTAGAGTCACTCCATCAGCATTAAATCTGAATGCTTGCAGCAACAGCAGAACCCTCTGGATTTTTTAAGAAGGCCCAGGTACAAATGTCGATAGAGGTGTGCAGGGTGCCTTCTTGTCCTTCAGAGGTGCATTATGCATTTAAAATACTGCTCCTCTTCCTCCCTTGCCTGTGGTTGACACCAGAGAGTATGAAACCCCAAGAGAAAACTATAGTCACTTATTGTTTCCAGAAGATGACCACCTGAACTGTCTTCTATTTAAATCACTGTTTTCCAGAAGGTCATGCCAGCTTTCATTAACATAAATCCGGCAAACCTGTTTTCTCCCTCCATTCTCAAACCAGCCGATGGTGTGTCTGTGTGTATGTTCTCACAAGAAAGGTCATCTTTGGTTCAGGGAGCTCAGTAAGACCTGTGCTTGTCCTGATCCTGTTGAAACAATGCAATTCACGGCAGGGCTTTTTTCTTCCCATAAAATGCACTCGTGGAGATACACTGATGTCAGCCCTATAAGGTAGACCAGGCTCAGAAACCAAAGGCCGCAGGGGTCAGGACTACTTTTACTGCAACAGCTGTAGGAACAGAATCTTGCAAGTCTGAATGCGCTCAGCCCTCCCTCCCTTTATCTTCGGGTGAACTAAGGAGGGGCTTGTCTGAGATTTTTTTCAAATTCATTTCTTGGAACAGGCTCAAGCCCCATTTGGCTGATTGTAGCCTTCTTAGTGGCTTTTCCTCCTGTCCTCCAAGGCCATTCCCTCTGCCTTCTCCATCTAATAGGAAGTATGAAAAAGGATGCTTGGTGGAACGATGAAAGGAAAGAGGATGTGGGTGAGGAAAAAAAAAAAGATTGCTGCAGAAATGAGGATGAAAGAAAAATATACATATAAAGTGCACAGAGAGAAAAAGACACAACACATTATGTAGTGAAAAAGAGCAAGGAATGGTTAAGATTAAAAGAGGCAGGGAGACTGCAGAGTGACTTTGAAAATAGTTTTGGGTGAAAAGGGCTAAACGAGGAGTCTCCAGCAGAATGAATGGAATTAAAGTTTTGGAAGACCACGTTCCCCCCTTCCATACATTATTGCCTTTCTTCACCATTGAAGATTGGACTTGCAGGGGCTGAATGATCAGGTGCAATTTTCTAATTCCACTCCCCCCCCCGTCCTTGATGCTTTTCAGGTGTGCAACAGCAACAGAAACTGCCACTGCAGCTCTGGATGGGCCCCTCCCTTCTGTAGGAGCATTGGATCTGGAGGAAGCGTTGATAGTGGGCCCCCATCGCATTTTAGATGTAGGTCTTAATTTATTTATTATATTTGAATTATCCTGCTGAACAACTCTTGGCACTACCCCTTTCCTGCCCATCCAGTCACCCTGGAATTTGTATAAATGGCATCTTAGAGCATTTTTCCCAAGGAGATGCTGGCTGTGCTGGCTTCACCTGTTGATCTTCCCACTTTGGCTCATATCAAAATGAAGTTGCCTTGCGTGCATTCACACAATACCTTTTCACCAGGTTCCTGAACCCATCTTTATGTCTCCTTACATTTATTTACTTATTTTCCAGTATTTATATTTTGCCTCAATCCTATCAGACTCTGGGTGGTAATTGGGTAAAATGCATAACACAACCCAAATGAATAAAAAAGAAACACATAAACAAGGGGCCTGAAAACAGCTAAAGGCTCCAAGTCATTCAAACAGAAGGTTTCTCACTCATTTTCAAAAAGCAAGCAGAGGTGAGGCCATCCATATCTCTGGAAAATTGGGGACATCACTGAGAAGACCTATTGCCTGCCCCTTACCCCAGGAACCATATAAGGAGGGGGGGCCCTCAACATACCCTGTCTAGATATCCAGACAGGATGGGCAGATATGCCAGATAGATCCAGGTGCTGTGTCATATAGGGCTTTAAAAATACAGGTAGTCCTTGTTTAACGGCCACAATTGGGACTGGCAACTCAGCCGTTAATCAAAGTGGCCACTAAGTGAAACCGTGACTGTGCTTATGATCTTAAGCTTTCCTTTCCTTTCCAGATCTGGGGACTGTAAAGGACTGATTGCAAAGTTCCTTTTTCATCACCGTTGTAACTGTGAATGGTCACTAAATGAGGCAGTCACTAAATGAGGACTACCAGTAATCACTAGCCTTTGAGTTGAGCCCAGAAGCCTCCCAGGGACCAGCGCAGCCAGTGGTGATATTCTATGCTGTTCCCTTTATCTCCCTAACTTGACAATCTTTATTTGTCCCTCGGAAAATCTGCCATTCAAAGAAGGCTCAGAAAAACAGGAAATTAAAACATTTACACGTTTTACAAAGAGGCAGTGTTTTAGATATTTTCCAATCCTTTGGTGGAAGGTCTGATGTTAAAATCAGCAATTTCACATTTGAGATTTTAAAATTCTTGAACAGGCTCCATCTGATTCCAGTAACTAACTTATTTTTATTTATTACAGAGATTTCGCCCATACTTGCCCGGCTTGTCAGTCTCCTTTTCTGACAAGGAAAAGGCTATAGATTTAATTCAGCAACTCAGCAATCTCCTTGGGCTTCTTTTGTCCTTTTTTTTTTCATTTCCTGTTGTCTGCTTTCCTAGCCACTTTTCTATGCCTGCTGTAATTTAAAGACCTGTCTTCAGCGTGATTAGCAGTGGGAGCCTAGAATCCATTTTTGTATCCGTAATATCTTCTTCCAGTTCTTTTGTGCAAGCATCCGTTAATTTTCTTTTTCTTTGTTTGAGTAAAACTTCCATCTCTGTCCAGATGCTTTCCTCCTGTGGCCTTTTCGCTTTGTTAACAGACAATTGTCCTCAGGGTTTATTTTTATCCTATCCTCATCTGAACTGCCTGAAACCTTTTCCCCATCCTGACCGGATGCTTGCCAGTGCCTGCCGGCATTTGAAAATTGTTCTGAAGATATTTTGATGTAAAGCTCGGGCAGGAACAGCCCGCCTGCTGCCCATCTTAGTAGAGAGCATGTGCAAGATTTTAAGTGCTCATTGCCACATATATGATGAAGTTTCTTTTTTAATTCCCCAGGGGCTTTAGTTCTCCTCCTTGCAAGATCCTTCCTGCTTATTCTGATCCTCCTTGTAATGTTCATTTTCGCCATCTCTAAGAGAAAACAGCTGGCAGTTTGGTAAGTTGACGTTGTCTTCATGCAGGCCACCCTGAGATACGATGGTGTCCATGAAGCAAGGCTGGAAAAGACCCCAGATTCTACCCCAAAGGCCATCCTCACATCCTACTTATCATGGTACAAAGACCCCTTGCTGACTGTTGTTAAGGGCCATGATTTCACGGCATCACCTTTCTCTCATCCCCAGCTTTCCCTCTTCTCCCACAACAAGTCTTGCTCTTGGTGATGAAGGTCACTATCAGACCTTCAAGATGGGCCAGGTCTAGAAACCAGCACAGCAGAGATTCCAGAAATGCTCTCTGTTGTTGTAAGGTAGAAAAACAGAATCTTGAAAGTTACTCTCTGTCCAATCTTAGGCTAAGCAAAATTAAGGTGGGGTTCTTTTGAGTGTCTTTCTCCTACTTCCTCCTGTTTCAAGACTGTGCATGTTCTCTTCTCAAGTCCCTCCTTAATGGCTCTCTCATCCCTTCCCCACAGTCAGGGGCAGGAGTCTGCTCGGCTCCTACTGGCCTCTTAGGTCTCCTGTGAGCAGGTCCTCTCCCCTCCATTGTTGGGCATTGCTCTCTGATTTCCTTGAGACTGGACACCTGAGACCCACAGGCTGGGAAGGAAAGAAGGGAGGAAGGAAATACATTTGGCATGATAGTCCTGAAGTCCTACGGCAAAAAAGATTGGGGCAGATGGTCAGTGGGTGTAATGGTCTGTGGGAATGACTTTGGGAGGCAGGGGAAGAGCTGGAGACTGGACAACCGTCATGCAAAAGGTATCTCAGTCCACAGAAGGGTGGGAAGCTTTTCAGAAAGGACCCTCCCTAGTTTTCTGGAGAGTAAAAGGAGAGGAGGGGAGGAACACTTTCAGTCTTGCAAGATTCTGTTAATGTAACCTTACCATAATGGCAGAGCTGGTATTCACTGTTGTGCTTCCCGTCTGGACCACCCCTGAAGGGCTCAGTGGGGCACATGAGAGGACTGAGATGAAGCAGAAATGAGTTCTGTCAGTCTTAATGCAAGTTCCATCCCAACCAACAGGTCTGGATTTTCTGCATTCAGTTTTGCCTATAGTCCTAGGGCAGAAAAAAAAAATTGTTGGTTGGGCTGGCTGTTGGGTTCCAGGAGGAAGCTGGAGGGAGGCCCCAGAATGCCCCAGCGGCCCCGTACCACACATGAGGGAGAGATATTGGTAGTTGCTCACCCTGCTAGTAGCAAACACCAGGTGGGAGAGGAAAGAAAGATGCCAGGGAATCCACCCACTGCTGCCTTCAACCCACCCCACCTTAAATTGTGCAGCAGCAGCACCGGCCTCATTCCCAAGGAACGTAAATCACCCAGATCAATCAGCCAGAAACATAGGTTGCCTTTCAGGTTCCAGATGCCATTTAAAAACCTTCAGATCCCTTTATAGGTTGGCACCAAGTTACCAACAGGACCACAACTCCCTACAAAAGTTGGTCCAAGTGTTATGATCCTCCTGGGAGGAACAGCTGGTTGCCTCTCATGTCTGCAGGTCAGGGGAGCTGGCCTTGAAGTGGGGCTTCTCAGGAAGCATCACTGGCCCTTGGAAAGCCCTCCTGTTGGAGGCTAGAGCTGCTCCTACCTTGGTCACTTTCTGGAAGATGTCGAAGACTGAGTTCTTCCAGCGGGCATTGGGGTCATGACACCTCTTTGTTTGGTAGGGTATGTTGTGTGATTTTTAGTCCTTTTTGCATTTTTGTATTTTTGTTTCTTGTACCTGTAGGTTGCTGAGAGTCTGTTGGATTGCAGAGGGATAAAAAATGTATCAATCAGTCAGTCAATCAATCGGTCAGAAGGGTGCACAATTTATATATGTCAGCTTACTTTTCTTCCAGGAATGCAAAGGGAGACATTTGTCTGGCACTGCTCTCTTCTAACTGGTATCAACCAACTCTTACTGCTGTACAATTCCCAGAATTCTCAGGCAGCTGCATAAGACAACTGGGTATTCTGGGAAGTAGGTAAACACAGCTGGAGGCAGCAGGCTGAGAATGTGTCTTAGAGTCCATTTTCCTTTTGGCTGACTGCTTGATCTAGGGGTGTCTGCAGGACGTGGTCAAAAAAGTCAAGACAGTAACCGCAATAGTGCAGTCGAAGCTCTGCCTATGTAATGGTAGGCGGGAATGACCTTGGGAGAGGGGGAAGAGATGCTGCCTAGGGAATGCTCAGATAAGAGGGGGCATAGTCCACAGCTACATAACAGGCAGAGAAAGACTCAGAAGGGAACCTCCCTAACTTCTCAGGTGATAAAAGAGATGGCAGGAGATTTGTACTATCAGACTTGCAAGATTCTGTTAATGTAGCCTTACGATAAAGTAGGATCTTTAAACATCTTTAAAATTAAATTTAAAATTAAATTAAATTGTTGTATGCCGCCCAGAGTCGCTTTGTATGAGATGGGCGGTTTATAAATACGATAAATAAATAAACAAATAAATAAATAAATTAAATTAAATTAAATTAAAAATTTAAATTTAAACATCTGGTTGTGTTTCTTGTCTGAGAAGGCTGACAGCCTAGTTGTTATGTGTATTGCATAATTCAAGGCATCATCTTGACTTCTTTGACTGTACCCTGCAGTTACCCCTGGTTTGATCCATCCTGAAGCTTCCCTAAATCACTTCTTTCTTCCCAGGTTCACCAAGTTCCAGAACAAAATCCGACGAGGAACTGCAGATACGGTAAGTGTTTGAAGCCTGTTTTCTAAAACAGGGTTCCTCAACCATGGCGACTTGAAGATGGCTGGGGAATTCTGGGAGTTGTAGTCCACACATCTTCAAGTCACCAAGGTTGAGGAACCCTGTTCCAAAAGAAAGTGTTTGAAGCCTGTTTTCTAAAACAGGGTTCCTCAACCATGGCGACTTGAAGATGGCTGGGGAATTCTGGGAGTTGTAGTCCACACATCTTCAAGTCACCAAGGTTGAGGAACCCTGTTCCAAAAGATCCAGATCCACTGGGCAAGGTTCTCGATGGGCATTTCTCAGAGTGCTTCATGTCTCAGGGCCAGGTACCTGGGAGACCCCCTGTCGGGGACAGCAAAGAGCACCTGATAAAGGTCCCCTCCTCTCAGGAGGCACAACAGGAGAGGCGCAGAGGGAGGTGTTTTGGGTGACCGCTTCCCTCCTTTGGAACACCTTGCCCACCCGGACCCTCACGGCCTTCCATTTTCCAGTGGAAAATGCACCCATTCTTCGTTCATGTTATTCTTAATGGTTTTATTGTTTTTACAGCACAGCTATTTAGTCTTAGGCTTTGACTTAATTTGTACACACAAGCTTTGGAATGAGGCACTTGATACATTTAGTCAGTCAATCCATCCACGGCTTGGAGATGCTAGGAGACCCGTGGGGCACAACCAGACAGCTGTGTTGAAGCGGTGTACATTGATCCCTGAGCTGGCAGGGAAGCCGCTGCCCTGACGATCCTGTTGTCTTCTGTCGTTGTAATGAAGCCAGTCCGATTCTTCGGTGGGGCCAGGAGCCGGTCCCTCCTGCAGCCGGAGCCGAAGCAGCCACAGAAGGGGTTGCCCGCTGATGGGAGGGGAGGGGGTGCCTGCAGTGGCCTCCGATGGCAGGCAGCAGCTGGGCCAATTCCAAACCCGGACCACATCAACAGCCGCCCGTTGACCCAGCATGGCAAAAATTGGGTTCAGAGAAAAAGGGAGAACAGTACTTTAAAACTAGACCAGCTAAATGTGACTTTAATCTTAAACTCGCCCTGCTGAGGGCTGCGGTTGAGATGAAGGCGAGGTCATCACGACATGTCGTATAAAAACAGCTAGCCGGGCATGTTCGCCCCACGGAGAGAGGATGGGAGGATGAGCCATATAATTCACTAAGGAGGGTAAGGCCTGGCAGAGAAGGGATAGAAGATGGTGAGATAGATGCCAAGGGTCCTTCCAAACTTCAAATGCTTTCCCCAACATATTGTACATTAGTATTTTCCCCCAGCCTTGCCAGACTCGAAACTCTGAATCTGAGGGTGTCCAGACCCAGCATAGCTTTGCTAGGCTTCCTCCACATTTCTGCCCAGACAATGTTTCTGTAATGGCAGAGCAACTAGATGGGGAGGTCATTTTAACCTAGAGGGTAGCAGTCTTTATCCTTGCTGTAATGAGGAATTAAAAAAAAAAAATCTGCACAGAATTTGCATAACCTTTTCCTACTGGACTTTGCAGCAGCAGGACCATAGGTTTTAAAGAGAGTCCACTATCTCTCTTGAGTGCAAAATCTACACCAGTTGCCTCTAAAAATAGTAAGCTTCTGAAAGTTTGGGAAAAAAAATAGTGATCCTTATGTTTAAAAATTGGAGAAGTTTATCTGAAAAAGCCTAAAATGGGGAAGTAAAGGGAACAAGGAATGCTATCAGAGAAATGTGCACATTAAAAAAACTGTAAGGAAATTTACATTAACCATTATGGAAATTACAGGAACATAATGAACAAAGGTTTTGAATATTGGGAAGTTGCAAAGGTAAACAGTTGAAAAAAATTCACATAGAGATATAATTTGCTCCAAAAACAGTCTTAATTAATATGAAGAATAAAGCAGACCAGGTTTTGACTAGTCCAAACTTCTGGTCAGCCCTTTGAGGTAGGTCAAATGAAGAAATACTGTAGATGCTACAAGCACTCCTGGAACTCTGCTTTATGGTTGGAGGGTGTAATGCCAGAAGTCTGAAAGCCTGCCAGAGTTTCCCTGTGCTCCCTCTTAGACCAAGCAAAATCAAGTGAGGTTATTTTGGGTCTCTTTCTTGCACTCCCCCCTTTCCCAGGGCTGAGATGTGGTTTACTGTCTCTCTTATCTGCTAGCAGCTCTTGCCTTCCTTCACCAGCGTCGCCTCTCCTTTCCACTCCCTGACTCTCCGCGCCCATCCCCATTACCCTGACTCTTCAAGTCACCAAGGTTGAGGAACCTGTTCCAAAAGATCCAGATCCACTGGGCAAGGTTCTGGATGGGCATTTCTCAGGGTGCTTCATGTCTCAGGGCCAGGTACCTGGGAGACCCCCTGTCAGGGACAGCGAAGAGCACCCGATAAAGGGTGCTGCAGGTTTGCATGGATCTGCAGGAGGCAACAACAGTAAATCATGTGGAGGGAAAAGAACAGGGCACCCCACGAGGTGAACCCCCGGAGGACTGGGTCTCGAGGGAGAATTTCTGGTGACCTTCATTCAGCCCTCCATGAATGGTTTTCGGTCTGCTCACTGTTAGGGTTTCTTGCCTTCACTAACTTCAGGACTAACCTGTCCTGCCTGATCTTGACGAGAAGCTCGCCAGGTGTGATAGACACAAGGATTGCCTACTCAGGAAGCCTCACAAGCGGCTGCTGAGCGGAGACATTCCCCCTGCCTTCCTCGGAGAAGGGCCTGGCAGTTGAAAAGCAAACGAAATCCCTTATAAGGACCCCTGCCAGGAATGTCCAGGGCAATGGGGCATTTCCTGCTGAGCGAGAGCCGGGGGGGGGGGTTGTTGGCTCTTAGGCTTCTTGGGGGTGCTCGATCAGCTCCCTCAAGGGGCCTCTGAACTTGGGAGTGCAGCTCTTTTGGAGGAAAGGTGAGGGAGCACCTCCGAGTGGGTGTGACCAGTGATTGGGCCAGCCACAGGCACAGTGCCCTGTTCTCTCGCGCGCACGCACACACGCCCAGGCACACGCAGCTTTTCCCAGCTGAGGTCCGTACCTCACACTTTGTCCCAGCAATCAGGCACCCAGCAGGGCCGAAACAGCCATCTTAATCAGGTTTGCAGGCAGGGGAGCACGATTAAACTTCACCGACCCCGCCCCCAGCAATCTTGTGCATGATCTCGTTCACTCTTTGCGGGGAGAGAAGGCAACAATTCCCCACCTGGTTTCCAGGATCGCCGTGTGCTTCTCAGCCAGACAAACCTTGTTTTTTTAGCGGGAAAGTTGAGCATTTTGGTGCTATCACAGATGCATGAGAAAAGAGCTGGCGGGAACGCTTGGACTCCTTGGTTGGTGGTGTGGGCTGGAGAAGAGTGTTTCAGGAGCACGGCTTTGCATAGTCACAGGCCCTGTTGGGGTGCTGGAGAAGACCACCTGCCTTTCTTGTCTCCCAGGGGTCCGTCCGGAAAGAGCCCTTGGAAAGGGTCCCAGCTGGGCAGCCTGCACCCTTGAAGGACCACCTCATGGTGAAGAAGGAGCCGTCCCTAAGCGGCCCAGGGCTATGAAGGTGCCGCTCTCCAAGCAGGGCCCCCCAGAAGAGCCCCCCAAGTGCGGTGGCAACGGAAGGAGAGCCGGACCACAAAAGGCCTACCATCCAAAGCAGGCGGTCCTCCTGGAGACACAGAAGGATATTTTGATACCTGAACCATCGCCCAAAGCGATTCCGGGACAAAGGCCTGTGTCCCGCCCCTTGGGTCTTCTTCCCTGTTGCCGAATTTTTTCCATTTCTTGCCTTGGTTTCTCCCGACGTCAAATGAAGCACAGTTCCTCCCTGGGGAAGCATGCCAGACGTGCGCCATCTCTGTTCTATAGTCCCGAAAGTTGGCCCAGGACTGTCCCCGTGGCTCCAGGAAAAAAAAAGGATCCCACGCCGTCTTGAACTGGCGAGGATCTGCAGCACGGGCAAATGGATCGGCCTCCTCTCGCCTCGACTCTCCGCGCTTTGCAGGCAGCGTGCAGATTTAAAGATGCAGCTGGAAAGACGGAAATGACACATTCTAATTCATTAAATATTCTCCCCACATTTAATGGCTTGTCCTTTCATCATGTTCAAAACGGCCTTTTTATCGTGTTGCAGGGGTTCGGGAGCTGTACCCGAGAACTAACAAACCACGGTTGTGCGTCCCCGACATGGCCAGTTGACCAGGGCCCGTTCAGAGAAGGGAGGGTCCAAGGAAGGTGCCCCCTCTGCCCTCAGCCAGCCGGCTTTCTCCGAGCTGCAACGGCAGAGAGGGTTGAGCTCCGGAAACCCAACAGGCAGATCACCAAGAGAGGGCTGCAAATGGGGGAGGCCAGCTGGGCAGGCTTGGATGGGTGACACAGGCACCACCCAGGCTGTCCTCACGCTCGGAGCACCCAGCTCTTGGATGGGGAGGGGGTAGGAGACCCCTGGAAGTAGCCACCGGAGGCAGGACCAGCCAATCTGTTTCCTTCTGGAGGGGGAGCTCACTGAGTGTGTGTGAAAGGGTTGTCATTTTCACCTTTTTAAAAATGGGCCCCGCTGGCAGGATTGTGCTAGGTCAGTGTTTCTCAACCTTGGCGGCTTGAAGATGGGTGGACT